ACCCATTTGATTCAAGAAGATAATTGACCAGAGCTTGTCTCAAACTGGTAAAAAAAATCTGCCATTGTTTCTTTCTATTGCAGAATTTCCCACTAGGATGAAAGCATTAACCCCTTATGTTTCCTGGAGGTCCCCAGTTTCTTTCATATCGATGTGGTGATAACTCTGATCCAGTTTGTATTTCATAATGCAAACGTCTCAAAAGATCCAGCACTTTGGATAGTTTCTTTAAGATTTGGACTAAAACCCAAACAGGATTCAATGTCCTACTAGCTTGGGAGTTACCAGCCAGTGCTGTTGCCTGAAAAAACACAGGTGGATATGCACTTTACAGATGTAATCCATTTGGCTGTAGACTTCTAGAATATCATAAAGTAGTAAATTATATTAAAAAAAACGTATGTTTTTCCAAATGCCTCTTCAAGTTGTACAGATAGTGAATTTTGTTGTTCATTTGCTCAGTCACTTCCAACTCTTTGTGACCTCATGGACCAGCCCACGCCAGAGCTTCCTATCGGCCTTCACCACCCCCAGCTCCTTCAAGGTCAAGCCAGTCACTTCAAGGATGCCATCCATCCATCTTTCCCTTGGTCGGTCCCTCTTCCTTTTTCCTTCCATTTTCCACAGCATCATTGTCTTCTCTAAGCTTTCCTGTCTTCTCATTATGTGGCCAAAATACTTCATCTTGGCCTCTAATATCCTTCCCTCCAGTGAGCAGTCAGGCTTTATTTCCTGAAGTATGGACTGGTTGGATCTTCTCACAGTCCAAGGCACTCTCAAAACTTTCCTCCAACACATTTCAAAAGCATCTATCCTCCTTCGCTCATCCTTCCAGCTCTCACATCCATACGTGACTACGGGGAATACAATTGCTTTAACTATATGGATCTTCATTGCCAGTGTGATGTCCTACTTTTCACTATTTTATTGATATTGGTCATTGCTCTCCTCCCAAGAAGTAAGCGTCTCCTGAGGTCTGCATCTGCAGTAACCTTTGCACCTAGAAATACAAAGTCTGTCACAGCCTCCACATTTTCTCCCTCTATTTGCCAGTTATCAATCATTCTTGTTGCCATAATCTTGGGGTTTGTTTTATGTTTAGCTGCAACCCAGCTTTTCCACTTTCTTCTTTCACCTTGATTAGAAGGCTCCTCAGCTCCTCCTTGCTTTTGGCCATCAAAGTGGTATCATCTGCATATCTAAGGTTGTTAAGGTTTCTTCCAGCAATTTTTACCCCAGCCTTGCATTCATCAAGCCCCGCACTTCGCATGATGTGTTCTGCATACAAGTTGAATAGGTTGAGAGTATACAACCCTACCGTACACCTTTCCCAATCTTGAACCAGTCTGTTATTCCATGGTCAGTTCTTACTGTATATAGTGAATTAGCCATGTTTAAATATTTAATTTTTAATTACACCTATTTTTTGTTTTGTCATAAAGTGTGAAAATATTTTCACCTTTTTTGCCATTACATCATGATGCCCCATTACAGCTATGTTCAAATGAATTAAACTGAGATTGATGATTTCATGGAGGTGAAAGCAGCTGTAACAATCAGAAAGGGGGTACTTATCATTCTTTCATGTAATATTAGAGCAGCATTAATCTTGCTGTGTTTACCATTCTTGTGGCTATAATTTACTGCTCCCCGATCAATGCGCTATTATCTTAACAACATCTCATATTTAATAGCTGTACCTCTCCACTGTTTGAATTTTGAATGGTAAAGAATGAGAGGCTAGAATGCTTAAAATGTTTTTTCATTGTATGAGTTGAATCCTAGTCCATGTGTGTAAAAGAATCCTGCCACAAGCAGCCTGAATTAAACAGATGTTTGTTTTTCATGGCTTCAATGCTGCAGAAATCCTTGAAGCTTACAAAATGGAATGATACACTCTTCAAAATTATGATGTATTGATCGATACTGAATGCCCATATAGTGCTTATTTTGTACTTTATAGTAATATTAAGTTCAGATATACTCACATTGATTGACTGCTTATATTATTGAGATTAATCAAGGTATTCATAGAATCATCCTCAATTTTGCTTGACTACATGTGTAAATCAATTCTAGTGAGTAAAAATGACCGGATTGTTGTAGGTTTTTCGGTCTGTATGGCCATGTTCTAGAATCATTCTCTCCTGACATTTTGCCTACATCTGTGACAGGCATCATCAGAGGTTGTGAGGTTTGTTGGAAACTAGGAAAATTGGGTTTATATATCTGTGGAAAGTCCAGGTAGGAGAAAGAACTCTTGTCTGTTGGAGCTAGGTGTAAATGTTTCAATTGGCCACCTTGATTAGCATTTGATGGCCTGACAGTTTTTAGGTGTGGCTTGTTACTGCCTGGGGGAATCCTTGGTTGAGAGGTGATTGAATCAGGGACAGCTAATCACCACTCAACAAAGGATGCCCCAGGCAGTAAGGAGCCACACCTAAAAACTTTTTTACTGTTTTAATTAATGTTGTATGTGCTGGTTTTAATTATTGCTTTATGTATTTAATTGTGGTTATATTATTGTAACTTATGTAGTGGCCTTGTACTGTTACTGAATGTTAAGGCATCCTGAGTCCCCTTTTGGGGGTAGAGTAGAGACGGGATAGAAATACCAGAAATAAAGAATAAATAAGTAAGTCATTAAATGTTTATTTATTTATTTATTTATTTATTTATTTATTTATTATTTAAACTTATATGCCACTCCCCTGGGGCTCGGAGCGGCTTACAAGAATGGCTAAAATCTAACAAAATTTAAAAGCAATTTAAAACAATTTAAAAACAGCAATATCAAACATTAAAAGCCTGTCAAAACAGGTATGTCTTACATGCCCTGCGGAAAGCTGGTAAGTCCCGCAAGGCACGGACTTCAGGTGGCAGAGTATTCCAGAGTGATGGTGCCACTGCTGTGAAGGCTCTGCGTCTGGTTGCTGTTAGACGCAAGGTCTTGACACTGGGAATTTCCAATAGATCTTGGTCCTCAGAACGGAGGGATCTCTGGGGTTGGTAGGGGGTGAGGCGGTCCCTCAGATACATCGGCCCCAGACCATGCAAGGCCTTAAAGGTGAGTACCATCACTTTGAAAGTGATCCGGTGCTCAATTGGTAACCAATGCAGCTGTAGTAAGATTGGTGTTATGTGGCATCTCATCGGAATTCCCGCAAGAAGCCGAGCAGCTGCATTTTGTACCAACTTGAGCTTCCGGATCACCGACAGAGGAAGGCCAATGTAGAGGGCGTTACAGTAGTCCAGTCTTGAGATGACCGTGGCCTGGATTACCATAGCTAGGTCATCCCTGGACAGGTAGGTTGCCAGCCATCTAGCCTGCCGCAGATGAAAAAAGGCGGTTCTGCTAACGGCGGAGACCTGGGCCTCCATCGTCAGTAGAGGGTCCAAAAGGACTCCCAGACTCTTTACCAATGATGACGGGCGTAGCGCCTCGCCATCCAGGATAGGCAGCTGGATATCCCCACTGCCCGGTTGACCCAGCCATAGGATCTCCGTCTTTGCTGGATTCACCCTCAACCTGCTGGCACGCAGCCATCCAGTAACGGCCTCGAGGCACTGATGGAAACAATCAGGTACAGAGTCCGGTCGGCCTTCCATCTTCAGCACCAGCTGAATGTCATCGGCGTACTGATAACACCCAAGCCCAAAACCTCGAACCAGCTGAGCAAGTGGTCGCATATAGATGTTAAATAACAGAGGGGAGAGAATGGCCCCCTGAGGAACCCCACAAGATAGAGGTGACCTCTCAGAGACCAGGCCTCCCCTCTCCACTCGCTGTCCATGGTTGTGAAGAAAGGAGGACAGCCAGTTTAAAGCTGTCCCCCTGACTCCCGCAACAGCAAGGCAGTGGGTAATCAAGGTGGCCAAGTGAAACATTCTCACCTAGCTCCAACAGACAAGAGTTCTTTCTCCCATCCTGGACTTTTCACAGATATATAAACCCAATTTTTTTAGTTTTCAACAGACCTCGCAACCTCTGAGGATGCCTGCCATAGATTCAGGTGAAACGTCAAGAGAGAATGCTTCTAGAACATGGCCATGAAGCCTGAAAAAGCTGCAACAACCCAGTGATTCTGTCCATGAAAGCCTTCGACAATACATTAACTATGACAACATTCTAGAGTTTTATTTTGTTACCTCTATGAATATAGCACACTCCGTTACATCCTTTACATACAGAGAGCAAAAGTAAGAAAGCTAATCTTTGAAGAGATGACACAGATTACATGTGAAGTGTACTACACATTCCCAAACAACAGCTGGAGCAGATAAATTTACCTCAAAATCATCCTTATTTATAAAATCAAAGTGGCTGTCTGAATTCATTCCAAAATTAGAGTGCTGCCTTAAAACATGGAGCATTGCTATTTTTCCAAGTTCCTCTTCCTTTGGGTTGGCAGTGTGTCTCTCCGCACAGCAGTAAGGCCCACGATTAATGAGAGCAACCTTGGCTCTTTTCGCTTCTCTTTTGCATCACAACATCTATACATTAACAATTACTGCAAAGTACAAAAATAATAAAAGTTGAACAAACTAAACTCTTATTGAACTTTTAGAGATTTTATATACATACATACATACACCCCCATTGGTTTTCACTATATGTATTTATTATAAATTATTTTGTTTTTATTGCAATTTGTAATTTTCTTGCCTATTGATATAACATATTTTTACATATTAGTTGAATAGTATGTTAATATTTTGGGATTTCATTGCCAAATGTCTTCCTGCTTGTTATTTGGCTAAAAGGAGTAACTATTATTATGATATTTGACCAAATGAGTCTTCTGCTGCTAAAATGATTGTTTATAGAAATTCAAAACATTTTTGATAGCTTGCAAAAGATTCAATAGCATAAGATATGATAGTTAACAAGTACTTGATTCATGTTTGTATGTATCTGCTTCTGGAATATGGAGTCTATTAAGGTTTTGCTCATTTATTAGATTTGCATTTTGCCTATCCCTACTGTTTTTATCTTTCAGGTGGCAATAATTGCTGGAAATTTTGAGCTTGGTGAATACATCAAGAATCATAAGGAAACTGATATTGGTATGTAAGATGTCTATTAGCATCTAAACTGCTGTTCAGTATTCTATAAATATTTTTTTAAACTAGAAAATATGCATTGAAAAAAGGGTTTTGGACTGGAATATTGCAGATAATACTTTTACTCTCAGCAGATGAAATATAGGTTGGGAGATGCTCTTTCAGCTTTGGGAAGTTTCCTACAATAGGGACCTGGATCAATGCATTGGAAGAAAGATTCTCATAGAGGCATCAAGAGATGCTGGGAAATGGAAATAAATAAAAGAAATGTGACCCTTGTACAGGTATGGACAACATCCACTTGAAAGTTCATTAAAATGTAGTTGTAAAATTATCAAACCTCATAGAAAACTATACACATATTTTTGGGAAAATTAGCCTCCAAAAAATTACTGGAAACTAGCCAGCACGCTATCAACTTCTAGTTGGGGGTGCAGGGATCTCTACTTTGTTCTGAGTAAATTGGTGGAGGGTGTTATTCAAGATACTGTTTTCAAATGCAAAAAACAATCACTGCTACCAAATTAACAGCAATATGGCTTCTTAAAAAGATAATCCCCAAGAACTAACCTTGAGTTATGTGAAAGCCATTCTAAACAATAACATTTAAACAGAAATTGGTACTTGGGGATTTACACCCATTGGCATATGGGGTGCTTCAAGCATCTGTAACTTATCGTTTTGAACATTACATGAAACTGGGAGGAGATGCCATCTGGAGGTTTCGGCTGCTGTTTATATATGACACAGGGCTTTACTTCTTCTTCTAACTAAGCCTAAAGAGAATGGAAATGCTGAAAAAGTATCTGGAGGGAATTGTGACTATTTGTTTCTAGTATCCACTTGGCCAAAGAGGTGCACAGCCTCTACTTGATAATTGACAATAACAAAACCAAAATATAATCCTGTAACATTAATGTTGTCGTCCCCCCTCTCCGTCCCCCCTCCTTCTTCCTCTTTGTGGTCACACTAATGAGTTATTCCGAACCTACTCAGAGCAGTTCAGAGTCTTCTAGAGCTCTACAAAAACTCTTTGGTGATCGCCATGCCCATTTTCCCCAATAGTATTTAAGTGGGCGAGTTCTGCTAGAGCCTCTGTTTCTTTTTGTCCTCTGCAGCGATAGCACAGGTGAACCCTGGCTCATATGCCTTTCTCTTATTGTTACCTGATTTGGTCTGAGTTACTGGTTTTCTACATCTACCTTCAATTTACCTTGATCTTCTTATTGTCTTCCTGGCTGACATGGTTTATTCTTCTGATATTCTGCTTTGGTTGTCTCCTGGGCTCTCGGCCTTTTCTCCTCTACAATGGCCATAGCTTCATTTAAAAAGTACCATTAGTATGAGGGAAGCAATAATCATTCCCTTTGTTTACTAACAATGATGGCTGTCCTGCCCCCATGCTATCTTAATTATTTGGAAGGTGAACTGGCTGCGCAGGGAACAGATCAGAGACTATATAGTTGAATCAAACAGGAATGTATTAACTGACAAGAATTTTAGACTTCCTTTCCTCCTGAATCTCACTACCGTCTTTATGAGGAGAGGCAAAGTCTTTGAGAGATAGACACTGTTCTGGCCAAACTGAGACTCTTTGATCTTTATTTCTCCTTATTATCTACTTCTTTTATGATGTTCAACTATCTCTAATATGGTCTCAATATTTAACTCTGTCTGGACTTGAATACAACTCATACAGCTCTGTCTGGACGTGCTATTTTGTAGACTTTCTGGCCTTCCTCTCTCTTTACCTTCCAGTCATGAAAACGCTGACTCTTCTAAGGACCTGAGGGAATTCTTAAAGGGGCAGGGCAATGGAGGCTTCAAATGCAAAGAGGCTGTGTAGACTTACCCCTCAGAAACTGTACATTAAAAGGGGCTTGATTAGGGGTAAACAGTGAGGGTCTTCATGGGGCATTACAATGGCCATTCCCACTATGTGCTGGAACTGTATAAGTTCCAGTTCATTTGTTAGGCTTCCTCATCCCCCAGTTTTAGAGTAGTCACTTTTATGTTAGTTTTATGAGGGTGGAGTTTAAGAAAACCCTTCCTGGTTTGTTTCAGCCATTTTGCCCACCCCTTTGCCTGAGGAAAGTGAGCCGTTTTTCATCAAAGACCAACAGGGAATCTTGGATGCAAGACATACCTGCAGTTGGTCCAAGTGAAATACAGACTTGGACAAGCCATTTCAAGTCAATTTTCCAACTAATAATTAGTTAACCAATAACTAATTAATGCCTTGGGCATTGGGCACCTCAGAGGCCTATACCAGAAACAGCGAGCAAGAAAAACTTTCATCTATTTTGTGTATTGTCGAAGGCTTTCATGGCCGGAATCACTGGGTTGTTGTAGGTTTCTCGGGCTGTATGACCATGTTCTAGAAGCATTCTCTCCTGACGTTTCACCTGCATCCATGGCAGGCATCCTCAGAGATTGAGGACCTCACAACCTCTGAGGAAGCCTGCCATAGATTCAGGCAAAATGTCAGGAGAGAATGGCCACTCAGCCATTTACACTCCAGTCAATTCATGCATGCTCATTCAGTCTTTCTCACATACACATATACAATCAGAAGTTACACCTTGAATGCTCTTTGAATGAACACACCGATGCTCAGAAGGAGTTTGTCTCTTCTTTTTCCTGGAAGGAGGAGTTGTCTTCCTTCATGCTTTGGTGAAGGGCATGATCTCAAAGTCCAGATTAGGTCCTTACTTCCAAGGATTTTTTCTCATTGCTTGCGTGGATGGATACTACTCTTTTTTCCCCTAGGCGAGAATGGCCATCCTGTTGATTTCTTCTGTTTTGTCACTGGCAGTAGTTGTCAGATAAGTATTGAACCCTGTCTTTGGGTCACAAACTGTGTAAACGTCGTCTGTGTTGAAGTATTATGGTTGTTGTAGTACTTTGTATGTGTTTTTAAAATTCTGTTTATTGCACTTTGCACTTAGCTAAACAGAAGTACCATGTCTAGATAGATATTTTCACATTACGCCATTTAGATACCTCTCAGGAATACTTTCTTCACAAGGTAACTTAAGGTAAATCAACAGTATGGCCATTCTCGCCAAGGGGAAAAAATAATAGCATCCATCCATGCAAGCAATGAGAAGGTGAAACATACAATTCTGTACAATGCAGTACATTCAGGAAATCAGAAATTAATTCCAAAATAAATTTTAAAGCCCAATAAAAAGCATTATGTATAATAAAAAGTCAATCAAAAGCCAAAGAAAACAAGGAATCTTTTAGATCCCCCTGTGACAGTTCCCTTTACTCAGGTTGAACCTTATTTCTCAAATTCAAACCCCTTTCTACTTCTGCTCCAATCTCTGTCTCTATCTGCTCATAGTCTTATCTGTGTCAACTTCAAATTTTGTCAGTGCCAGTTCAGACCCTGCCTGCTTCCCTCAGAGGCAAGCTTCTGCCTTTTGGTACATTTTGATCCCTTACAGTCCAATTGCATAGCCCTCCTGAGCTGCGGTTCACTGCCTTAATGGCAAGTCTGCCTAGCACCTCCTTTATGTGTCCCTCCTTCAAAAGTCATTGCGCTATTAAGGGTTTATGACTCTGCCTGTCTAGACAAAGAATTTTCCATCACATTTGCATTTCCCTATGTCAAAATCAGTCCTGCAAAAAAGGACTCGGGTGCAACTGTTTACCACTGTTCTCTTTCATGTGATGTAACCAACATAAGGGGGATGGTTTGTCTTAACATAAGCTTCATTCCCCAGAAATAAGATTTTAACAAAGCCCACACCCTGCCAGGCACTCCTTTTCTACCATGGCCAGATGTTGCTCCCTGGGTACCAGTTTTTTCTTACGAACCTAGCAGACTGATGCTGCCCAACCTCCCATTTCTGACTTAGGGCTGGTCCAGTACAAATACTGGAGGCATTTGTGGTGATCACAAAGGTTTGTCAAAGTCTGGCCTAGATGTGATCACATTTTCCGGCTTGGAAAGACTCCTGACTTTTGATGGTCCACTCAAATTTATCAGATTGAGAATCATTTTGGGACTAAAGTTTGGACTAGAAAGTCCATACAATATAATGAATAATTTCTGATACAGTTAGCATATGTAAATATCAAAACAGATCAAATATTTGTGCCATGAAGTTTATGGTAAAAATATGGTTCCAAGAAAAAAGATAAAATATTTAGATTGAAAATCAGATCCCAAGAATATTTATGTTGTAACAGACTTTAAGAACATGTCCTTTTATTAACGTTCTGTGAGTGACTATGACATCCTATCAATCTGTCAACACACATTTCTTTCACATGCATTTGTGTATTTGACATTACACTGAACATGACTTACCACTTTAAATTTGTGTAGTCTTACATTTTCATTAATAGGATTTTATAATTGTTACAAATGCATCAGAGCATCTTCTTTAATGTGAGCACATATTATTGGAATTTGAAAAGATCTAGCTGAGTGCCTGTACAGTATCATTTTTGTGTTTTGAGAGCACTATCTCTGCTTTGAATGGCACAAGTCTTTTAAGAAATGTCCTGCAGCTAAACCTAACTGATTGACATGTTATTCTTTCCCTTCGTGCTGTGATTAGTGACAGCATTTCATTTTTAATTATTTATATATTTGTCTATTTATTTATTTTTATCGAAAACCAAAGGGGAAAGTAATGGATTAAAAGCTGTGATGAATAGGAAAGTTAATCCCTGATTGTTTTCATCCAGTCTACAGCTGTCTGCAAGTAAATGAGCACAGAAGGTTTAGAAAGCATTCGCTATACAGCATTTACTATGGCTTCTATAGAATGGAGATACAAAAAACCAGCTATAAGATATATAGGATTCTTGAAGATCTCTTTAAATACAGTTATGCACATAATAAATATGTTGCTAACCGAGGATCCTTTGAACTGGATAACGTATTTTTAAATCTTTTTCATTTTGTTTTGCCTGGGCTTTTTGTGATGAGGTGAATTATCAGATGGATTAAATGACATGGGTTGTTCTTCCTCAAGTGAACAAGG